ATTAACTCCTGGACAAAGCCAACGCATTTCTACGCGTCATTCAATAACGATTTGCCTATCGGCTACCTGACACGCGTTTATCCTTTACTTTCCCATTAACAGTTTCCCTTTTCATTACATTATACCTATACGGCCAATAAGCAGGTCGTACAAGTTTTATAAAAGCTTTCTACGTGTTATCGCATTATACCCGATGATACGTTTGTAGCCGACCACGCCTGTCTTTCTGCAAAACCGCTTGGGGATAAGTCGTGATACGTTGTCACGTCGAGGGATGCTTTTCAATTTTTCCTCTTATCCATTTACGGGAGTCTATGCGAAGGACGCTAATGGAGTCGACCAGACTACGGTGGCCTGTAATCCATCTGGCGGCCGAGTCCGTAACTAATTTCAATACGAGACGAAAATTCATTTGAAGCTTTTGCGTTGTGACGCGCATGACAGACGCGTTGAATTGCTTTCGGTATCTTCGCGTTATCTACAGGCGCCGATTATATTTCTCGGAATCTATGATCGCTCGTGGCTATTTCTTAACTCGACAAAATTTTTATGATATCCGGCGACAAGTGACACCCGGTTCTTGGTATCGTTAGCAATGAAATCGACGTGTGAATTTATTCTGAGATTGGCAAGATTTGTTTTTTTATTATATCACAATTTTCAACCGTGAATCAGTTTCGGTGCGGACGATTACGTATTTAAGATTACGCTAATCTTTGCTTCGTTGAATTCTCATGAATTTATTTTTCAATAGTTTTCATATAATGCATAATCAAACGCCTGATACAAATAATCGATTTATTACGTATACGAAACTCATTAGTAATCTTACTACTTACCATAGGAAAGTATAAGCTGCGCGGCAAATGCGATTATTTCGGAAAAACCTAGCCCTTGATTTTTGGTTCATCATTTATTTGGAAGACATTGAAACTGTGAAAATATTTGATCGTCGGACGATAACACTAGGTTTTGGTTTTGGCGACGAGGGGGGGAACTCGATGTCGATCGCGGCTACTTCAGGTGTCCTACTTGGAATTGGACATACAGTATATACATATATACGCCGGCAGGCAATATGGCCGGTTCGATCGATATCGAATACCTGTCCGAGCGAAATGCTCGCGTTCGAGACTGTCGTAACGACTCGACTTCAATTCCTCACGTGCCCTGGACCAAAAAGTATCCCGTAGGCCGAGGGCGAAGCCCCTTTCTTTAGTACGGCACTGGGTCACTGTTCCGGAGGTTCCACACGTGTGCCGGGCTATCCAGATTCCTCATCGGTCGAGCCGAAATCTTCAGCAGCGTCCACAACGAGACATTGCACTCGTTTGAATTTCACTAAACCTAAGCACACATGTACCGTACCCTGATAAAATATCTTTATCAGCAATCCGCGTGGCGATAACAGCTGAAATTTCAATCGCGTCATCTAAATATAAGGCGATCAGGAAAAATCAATAGATCTTAAATAGAAGTAGATCGTTCATAACTTTCCGGTGTGATATAGCCTTTGGGTATCGATAAGATTAATTTCTTATCAATATTTTACCTCTCGATTGACAATAATCGAGTAATCGATACCTATCGATATTTTTTTCTTCAAATCATCCCACAACAGCGTCAACGAGATTCTCGCGTCGCGACGCTCCTGCGAATCTTCACGGAACGAAGCCTCTCGCACACGATGCATTCCGAATACGAATTCGAACCGCTTTTTCGCGCTCGATCATCCGCGGAAAGCTAATTTTGTTTATTAGCCAGAATCTTAAGAAGCCAACTGGATCCCCGGCCAGTTTCTTTGGCTCGGATTCGCCGAAACTTTATTTTCGGTACGCGTCATTCCGGGACCTCTAATCGCTTACCAAGAAGGTATACAGGGTACAGGGGCAACCTCGGAGTCCATCGTCGGAACGCATTCAGGATCCACCCGGTATACGTCATGGGTGCCTATTACGACACATGGAATATCGCATAGCTAACTTCATATCTATTACGTCCATTGCGACAATGATCCAGGGTGAACGTCGGCTAATGACTTTTCTCTCTCTCTTGATTGGCCAACCAATGTATATCCGTCTCTCTCTTGCTCCAATAAAGCAAACATAGAATCCATCGTGTCTCTCACTCGCGCCTGTGCAATATTCTGGGACAAAGCACAGCCATGCCTTATCCGGCCATTACTATATATATATATATATACATACATACACATAGTAGGATTCGAATCATCTAATTAACCTAAGCCAAGGATCAGCACATACAAAGTACAATCAGATGATAGACATACGTACACCTCATCCTCCCACATACTCCTTGATACTTTTTAACGACCACTGTGCGCCCCCTTGCACCTCTCGATCCCCTCCCATCGATAAATTGACATTCCCTAATTTACTCGGCTCGAAGTCTACCGACCTGGCAACATACCCAGGTAGCTCGTATGACCTCGTATATATACACAGGCAGTATTGTTTAAAGTGGAATAAAAATTGATTTGCCGGTATCGCCGCCACTGCCAATCTAACCAATCTATCCCGGCGCTTTCCCCTTCAGGACGCGACGATATTCCGGGATCCGCGCGAAGCTCGGGAACTCCAATGTTATTGAGCTGTGTCGCGGAGATAACGCAGCTGCGGCAATAATGGCGAGTTCATTGCTACCGCGACACGATCCTCGAAAGGTCACGCTCCTTTACGAGAGACAATCTTGAGCAACGACTAAAAGCGTCGCTGATCCCCTCGAGACATTTCCCGTAGTCCTTGATGTTTACGAGTATCTAGGTACATGCTTGTACACGTACTGTACACAGCACGGCGTATAGAGTCGACTCGTTAGATTCCCATAAGTATCGCGGGAATTTTCTCGGCGATATCTTTTCCTGTGGTAAGACAAAGGGACGGGGGCAGACGGGGGGAGAGCGGAAGTACCCTGGACAATGGACGACCAAGGGACTTCCACGGGCCGACCACTGACCGACGGAATGGTACGAGCCACGCGAACCTCCGAGGGATTGGGAATAACCGTCATTCTAGAAGACATTATTAAAGGAAGATTACTGACTTTATAGACAGGACGATGTATACTTTATACGTCAGGGTGTATATATATATATATATATATATATATATATAGATGTGTATACAGGGCGAGCGAGAGGCAATAAGAAATGCAGTTAGACAGGAATTCCTTCCGATTACGGTGACTTCGTCTTCGTCTTTTCCATCAGATCTTTTCACCGCGATACTGCGAGACTGGTGACCTTTGAAATTGGTAATTGTAACGATCCACGTGTAAGGAACGACTCGGGCTAATTGATATAACCCGAAGGATAATTAAAAGTCGTGGCTCAACGTTACCCGGACGATCGAGAACGACATTCGTCGTTATACTCGAGGATCTTCCGCTGTGCTTATCGTTAACTCGATGTCGGATACTTTGCTACCGGACTGTTGAATAGCCGGCCAGGGCCGTGCCTATCGAAGGCGCTTTCTCTCGCAGCGGTTCAATACGGAAGATAACACGTGCCCGATAGGCCGTGAGGTATTAAGACACGAATACGAAGGGTCTTGAACAATATCGAGCGGTAGATATATTAGCGATAGGGGTAAGAGTACATTGTGTGTGTATAGTGGGTATGAAAAAAAAGAAAAAAAAAAAAGAAAAAAAAATATTAGAAAACGTGAAAATTATTATGTCACCGGGTAACGTGAATTTTATGCGAATTACATATCGGACTGATATGTCTTTATATGGTGTTGGAATACTACGTGTATGTACGTATGTATCGTAATATTTTTCTTATTGGCATAAATTCTTGGAACAACTCGAGCGACAGGCCTGGTCCGACAAATTGCTCGAGCGTATTCGCCGAGCGTATTCGCCTTGGCTAGTTGGAGAGAGAAGCTAGGCGGATCGAGATCGTTCGTAGAAAGAGAGAGATTGATGCTTACGTACGTCGAGCCGTGCAGTTGGCATATTGCACGTATACGCATATCTCTGTGTGTTTTTATATGTACAGGTACAGGTAAGCAGCGGCAGCAAAGGCCGAGCGCGATTATCGGACTAGAAAATTTAATGAAATAAGTAAAGTTCGTTCACGCGTCGTTGAGTCTCCCAGTGTAGCACAACAGTGTGATTAGGTAACTGAAACCTTAGCGATATTGCCGACCGCACGGGAGAGAGACGCAGTCACGTAACAGAAAACGCGCCTGCTCCAGATTCGCGTCTCTCTAACCCACTTCGTCGGTACTTACGCCGGCCGTTGCGATTCTACTTGGTGTCTGGTCACTGCGATCATTAATTTCCTTACCGGAGCTTCGCGTGCGCATGCGCACAATGCAACGCGGCTTGTATGCCCGTGCATTGTACAGTGGGGTGGTGATTTGAATTTTCCCGCTTTTTTTTTTTTTTGTTTTGGGCGGAAATTTTTTTTACCTTCTCTGTTTTTTCTTCGTATCTTGCTCGTTTACGAAACTAGACTTTTTTTTTTTTCATGTCGACGGAGATGGTTGAAGCTCGCTCGATAACCGTGACTGACTTCGTTGTGCCAATCGCGAGACATTCACACCGCAAAAATGCCACTAACCTCTTGGCGGACCTTGACGAGGCTCTTAATAACAATTTCGCCGACGAAATCGATAAGAGTATCGAGTTAATGAGCTTCCATTTCGCGCGGCGCTGAGTTACCGACGACCGGCCATCCTGCCTCGTGTTTAACGGCTGTCACGTTTACTAACTTCTCTTGCAGTCCTTTCTCGAGCTATCTCGTATTTTTAGTTTTGATATTTTTTTTAGTTTTTTTTTTTTTATCATTTATTTCCGATTTCATAATAAAGCATCCTCGCGATTTATTCTTATACCGACGAGATGGGAATAAAGTTAAACATTTTTTTTTTTTTTTTTTTTTTTTTTTTTTTTTCCGTTGGTAATTCTGATCCCTTTTGTTTCTCTTTTTTCTTTCGTCGTTCGCATCAACTCGATCTTGGATTGTATTTCAGTTGGAGCCACGGCCGAGACGGACTCCCTGTCACTCACGTTGCGGGAAGCAGCGACGTTACTCGGTAAGTTCCTTACAGTCGTCTTAAGTTTTTTGTCTCCTATCGTGCGCACCTAGGCTGGGACACGAATATATAGGAAATTTGAAAATGTCGGCAGTTGTCAATTAAATGAATTTTTTTTTCCGAGATTCATCTAAATTCTTCCCTATTGTCACGACTGATTTCGATGTTGGGTGCGTTTGGAATATTGACACAAATGTATATATATATATATATATATATATACATTTCCAGCACTTTGGTAAACAGCGCGTGGTCAGCGTTTGGCATAACGAAGCGAAGATACGCGAACGGGTATTTAGAAAGCTTGAAATTGGATTGACGAGGGTCGATTGAACGAGACGCTTCGGATGATCGGTAACGTCTTTTACTTTCGTTTCTAAATTTACGTAAACTTTCTCCGTGCAATTAATGGCAATTTTTTTTTGACCCAATTACTTCCGTCAATCCTTTCTTTTATTCTTAACAGTCATCGGTCTCCTGGTACTTACCGATACCATTCTTCTCGCTTACGATCGCTTACGATCTCCCGGATTTCTCGATCTCTCGGGATCGTTATCTTATTATCGACTGTTTTCGGATTTCACGACTCTCGATCTAACTTTTCTAAAATCAATATATTCCAATCGCTTTGCCAATGTTTGACGTTCGCTGACGCGAGTCTCGGCCCAGCTCACTCGATTCCGTCGAGGTTAGGTTAGATTCTTCGAGGGCGAAGCAACCCCACGTGGTATCTTTGACGATGGCTCCGCCATTGGATCGCCTAGGCGAAACTGTATTATTGCTCATTGTTGAACAGTTAACGGTACCCAGGAAGAGTTCGTACGTGTCTCCAAGGTATATATATATATATATATATATATATATACATTTGTGTCAATATTCCAAACGCACCCAACATCGAAATCAGTCGTGACAATAGGGAAGAATTTAGATGAATCTCGGAAAAAAAAACCCAGGAAGAGTTCGTACGTGTCTCCAATATATATATATATATATATATATATATATACGTTGAATAATAATAAATATACATAAAGGTTCGAATGGACTTTATAAACGAAGAATAAAATTGAATACCACGGGGCCTTACGGTATCGCAAAGTCCGCGTGAACACGTTTTCTCATTCTCCCCTTTATCTCACGTGTTGCGTGTCGTCTCCTTTTTTTCCCCCTCTTTTCTTTCGCCTCTCCCCTCCCCCTCCCCCCTCACGATTTGCCCCCCTCGAGATCCTCCCCCATCCTACGGATCGGTTCGTTCATCCCGAATCCTGGCGAACGTTTCTTTTCTCTCGCAGGATACGTGCACGGGAGGGCGTTGCCGCGGGATGGCAAATACGTGACGCATTGTCAGCCTGATGGAATCTAAATGAAGCATATGCACGTCGAAGGGGACGAAGCAGCAGAAGAAGAAGAGAAACCTGATGGGAGTTAGGGAATAGACGCGAGACGTTTCCAAGGTACCGGCAAGTCCCGTCCGATCGTTTTCCAATTTCGAGGGGCCTTCTAATTGGCCGAGAACGGGGACCACGCGGGTTCCCATTAGCCTGGACGGCGGGGATCGATTCTCGTCCGATCGATCGATCAGAGCTCCCGATCGATCGAGAAGGCGACAGCCAGCGGGGCCTTGCGCCGATTCGTAGAATGTGAAAAACCCGATGGCTTCGGACTAGTCGTGCGCGTTTTACTCCTTTTGTGTATATATATATATTTTTTTTTCATTCTATCTTCTTTCTCTTCTTTTCCTCGTCTCTCCTTCTTCTCCATCGCTCCGTCGTAATTTCATCAATCTTTGGATTCTTCTCATTTCTTCTATACTCCGTCCGAGAACTCCGTCTTTACTTTCGTCCTTAATTTTCCTACCGATTTACACGCGTCTCTTCGTGACGGCGCTATCGCGTTCGACGAACTGTTCCGGCCGACTGTACCACCTCGGGGCAGCATCGGCCATGCATCGACGATGAGAATATGACCCCGGCGTACTCGGCGAGTAAACTATAAGCGTTGCAGCAGTACAGTGGTGGGAGTACCGCAAGGGTCAATCCACGGTCCACCATTATATTCCTCCGACCGAGGCACCACTCTTGGGACCCGGGTTCACGGGACGCCTCGGACGCCACCGCCGATGTTCGCCCGTATAACGCGACGACCTCTGGGAGGATTCTGAGGATCCCGCAGGTGCATCGCAGGGACGCCGGAGCAAGAGGAAAAATATGAACGAGCAGCAACGATCCGTGCGAATAAATGGAAAAATCGCGTGATCGAGGGTGAAAAGAAAAATGAAAAATTTTTTGGCGTCGTACAAAATCAACGTTTTTTTTAAAAAGAGTATCGAACGAGTGATGAAAAATTTTGGAAAAAAATTTTGATGATTTTAAAAAAAATTTTTTCTCTTCGACTCGTTATACCGTTGGTGTCATATTCCTTCTCTTTACCCATTTCGTCCTCCCGGGTCAACCGCGAGAGGTCACGTCGCACGCATGACGCAATCTCTCGGTTCTTCACGACTCTTCCATTTAATTTCTACGGGTCTTTAGTTTTTCCATAGTTTCCCACGAGGACACGGTCCACGACCGGCTCCTTCGAAGGAGTGCCAGTGTGAGCCGTCTAAGCGAGGGAGACACGTGGACCGGGTACTGGAGGCTGTGCGGGGCAGCGGGAGGCTGCTCATCTCCCGTAAGGTCCACGCGCGCCAGGATTTCCACGGAATCCCGCGGTACTCGGGGCATCCCGATGCGACAGGAAATACCGTCGATTTGCGATTTATCTAAATTCTTAATGGCCGTCGCGCAATGATCTACGCGTACGTTCCGCAAATACGTGGATTACCTACGTAGGTAGGGTTAGGTCGGGTTAGGTAGGCAAAGCTATTCCTCGCGTTTCAGGGAACGTTGTGCCAGGATCTCGCGACTTTACTAGCTTTTCCCGCGCGCGCGCGCGCGCGCGCTCGCGCGTCCGCGTGTGCATCCATTGAAACTCGCGTTGAGTCTTCCGGGTAGAGAAGTGCCGTTGAACCCTGACGATAATATTTCCACCGAGTCCCCGATGAATTTCCTTGGTCATTTCATTCACGACCCATTTCGCATTGTGTTAGGTAAGTCCGTCGGATCGATCGACGTAACTCGTTCGTACGCGAAAGAGCAAATCGCTCTCGGTCGGTAAATTCCCATGATAACTTTCTCCACCGACTGTTCGTTCTCTCCCTCGTTTTCGAGAGTCCAATAAATATTGCGGTTCCGTCACTTCCGCTTCTACGATCCTCTCGCGTGTGTCTCTCTCTTTTGCTAAATTCACGGCGCATCGAGCCGCCGGCTTCTGGACACGTGACACCACGATCCCCCGACTGACTGTCGGGACCCGTTCGGGCCGCGTCAATGTTTCGTCACAGAGCGGACACGTGCAGGTATCAGGTATGCCGAATAACGGACGTGCTAGCCCGCGGCTTCCATCTACTTACACTGCGCCAGCCCGCCGATACCTCGATCCACATATTGATCTATTTATCGACGGACGTTAAGTTGGTACCGCGAAAAAAACATTTTCTTTTTTTTACCATCAAAATTTACACAACCCGGTATACCAACCACCCTGACCAGGTAGTTTGGATCCGAGTCGTTGTACTGTATCAAGCAGTGCTCTGTTCTTGGATCTTGTTATTATTATCGATCGTATAATCCCATTGGATTCTTTTTTTCTTTTTATCGATCGTTATGCTGGATCGATCTTGGTACCTTGTTGGCTGAGACAAAAAGAAAAGACAAAAGTTGGCCCACGAGCGTCTCGCTGGACTCGCCATGGAAAATGGATCCGTTGTTGAGGCGTAGCCGAGGTTAGGCAGTGAACGCATGGTCGACGGGACGGACGGTTGTATCGTCAACACCATCCTGGGGAATCCTGAGTTCGGAATGTCGTAATCGGCACCGTTCGCCTGTAAATAAAGAAGATCCCATTGTGATCTGGCAGGTCTTCGACCCATTGTGCCGCAGATTACATAGAATCTATCGTGTATTATACCGGGCGACTGAATAGACGGATAAATAGGTACCGTATAAGAATGGCAGGGCACCGGGTAGAGCCTGGGACTGCTAAAGAGTACACTGGCGACCGGAGAACAATGGGGGCCTTCACTATAATCGGAAGTAAAGTCTTGTTAGTGTGGTGCGTAACTGTACATAGCGAACGGCTAATTTCGCTTTATTCCCATTATGTATCGAAGGATTAAAATTTCATACACGTTCCGTGTCCACCCGGTTTTATGTCCTGTGACTTCGATACCCATAAGTCGGCTCGGGTTTGGCCATCGACTTCCGTACTCCATTCGACAGTGGCCACGGCAACGGAAAGCTCCTACGGGATGTAAGTTTTTCATGATTTTGCCTGTATACATTTATTTTTTATTTTCTTAATATTGCCTTTCATTTCGATGCTTCGCGATATCGCGAAACGGGTTCCCCTAATTGTTCTTCGTGTCGTTAACCGGTCGAGTCGCCAAATCGTAAACGAACGTTAATACCGTTACCGAGGTCGTACAAGGCGCCGGGATCGAAATTGAATCGAATATCAACCGGTGTTTCGCAATATTCGAGCGCGTCGTTGACCCGGGGGTTCCTTTGTAAAGCAACAGTTACGTCCCTGGAAATTTGTACTATGTCCGAAAAATCTTGACGGACGATCTTTCGCGCTGACCTGCTTGACTATTTTCTTACGGTACGATAATTGGGTGGAAGTTTTTTTTTTTTTTTATTGCAACCGACCGTCGGATCGGAGGTTGCGGTATTACTGCGAATCACGTGGGACGGCACGTCATCGTTAATAAAACTCGAAGCGTAACCGCGAATATTTTGCGTGCCGATGCTATACTCGCGAATATCCGTACAATTTGCCAAATGGATTCTACCGACACGACCAACTCCGGTCCCATTTCCATGTTTTAATTTGTTTAACGGATTTTCAGTGTCCCTGACAATTTTTACCTGTCTCTCTCGGCACTTTACTCCAATCCCACAGCACTTTTCACCTTTCCATATTTCGCGAGGATCACGCTATTTTTATTCATTTCGATAATAACGAACTTCACTGTTCACCGTTAGTCAAGTCTAATTTCAATATGAAAGATCTCTACGAGATTTATAGCGAACAGGGTATACGTAGGCTTTTTCATATGGCAAATATCGTGGGTTGATACGGCAGTATGTAATACACTCCATCCCCCGTATCGAGTATTTATCTAAAGGGTCAATAAAAAAAAAAAAAAAATAAAAAAAAACTGATTTAACCAGGTGCATCTTGTACCCATGTGTCTTAGGTTGGGGCAGCATTGGCATTTAAATGTTAACGCTATCTAAGCGATGGTATTTGCCATCGTCTTGGAGTCCGCATAAAACTATTCCCCGTAACTCTTCCTGGCGATGCGGCTCAATTTCGAAAGTTAAATGTCAATGAGTAACCAGTAAGTTTAACAGTCGTTGCATTCTGTCTATACATTCTGACAGTATGTATATATATATATATAGGCATACTAGAGTCGCATCAATATAGACCTCTGCGTATACACTGATTACCATAGAGAGGAGTTGAGCACAAAAAAATGCATTGCCGAACGATGATCCCCCCCTCCCG